AATGTTTGCCTGTTGAACTAAATAGTTAAATCAGTCTATTGTATTTTCAGTAAAAAATAAGTGGGATTGTAACATGACATTTGAGTGTTCATAAAAGAGTGTTGTGCTTTTTTTTACAAAACGAAATTTATTAAAACGTAAATAAGCTTTTATAAAAAGTGATAAATGTGATGGTAAATAATTTTGGCTTAAAAAAATTTTATATTTTTTTACATTTTAAATGTGTTTAGATGCGTCCACCGGCATCACGTTAAAATATGATAAAATAAAAAAAAAAATCATTGAACCTATAAATAATAAATTTCTGCTTTATTTTCCTAGCGTTTAAATTAAAAAATAAACTGTCATTCAAATTATTTTAATTTTCTTGCTATGCCTTAAATCAATTTTAATTTACCGCTAGCAATAAAGTACATGCTGCAACAAGCAATCAATTCATTTTGAAACGAACTCAATTAAAAATATATTTCAAAGGCGCGAAAAACCATGAAAATTACCAGAAGCGCCACATTCAAACCGTATATAATGCCTTTGTTGAAAGAATGCCTGTGCACGCACATACATACATGCGTACTCTAAAATACTCCTATATGAGCATTTCAATGTGCATAAATTGTCTCTGCAGAATTTATAAATAAGTTAATTTTAAACTTTTGTAGCGATTAATTTGAATACGCATTGAAAATATTGTGTTTGCAACGAGCGAGTGAACGAATGAGAGAATGAAATTACACTTGCATACAGTGATTACTTTACACAATATTTCAGGCAGTCTGTAAAAGTAGGTCACCCATACACCCCTGTGTGCGCACGCACATACGCACACTTTCATTTCCCCTGCAGGGAAAAATACTCGTTGTCAACTAGAACTCACTTGGCTTACATCTTTACACCAACTATTTCATCTTCATCCATTTTCCATGTAGGCAACTGGTATTTTCAACACGGCGTTATCCTACGAGCTGACAATTGTCCTACCCTATTGAATCGGCTTCATACCAGTTTAATACTAGTTTATTTAAGCATGTTGAGTTTCTACTACACCAAAAAAAGACTAAATCAAATAAATAAAATTCAGTGAAGAGCACTAACCACTAGACTACTGTTATGACAAATGGAGGAGCGAAATATGCACACTTCAACAGAGCTTTTTAGTAAATAAAACTCAGCCGTGTCGTACTAAAAATAAAAACAACATATGAATGACGTGGAGGTGAAAACTTCTGTTTCAAGAAAAATTAAAAAAAAATGTATACTAATTGTCATTTTGCGCACTTCAATAAAATAGAGCAGATAATGGAATTCAGACGCGTTCTACCGAGAACAAACAGTGGTGGAAATTGTTGTTTGTCCCGCTACTGGTGAACTTCTTTACAAATAACGAACTGGTATGATTTCATCTTCAACATACTAGTATTTAACTCAAAGTTTTGCATACTAGTTAGTTCTCCCCTGCAGGGTCGTTTATGTTTATGTTGTTTTTATGCGTGTGCATATGTGTGTGTATGTGTGTGTTTGAATTTTTGCAATAAAAAGATTGCTCTTTAAATGTGCATGAAATCAAAAGAATTGTGTAACATCTGCATTATACATTTGCAACACAGCTAAATACATGACTACATTTGTAAGTACATATCTGCATGTAGCTCATGTCCACTGGCTATTGGCATGAGGTTGCGTATACGCAATGGCGTATAATAAGTGGACAATTTTCTGTATTTGTATGCTTTTTCCATTGTATATGAATAAAATATGTTAGCCTCTGGGAAAAGAAATTTAAAAATTTCTGTTGCACAATAAAATACTGGTAGCAAAAAAAAAATAAATATATAAAAAAATAAAAAATAAAAATCTACAAAAAAATGCAACATTTGTAGTGAAAGTTCAGACGTTGAAATGTTAAGTGTGCGTCTAGCATAACTTATTGTATTATTTATGCGAAAAAAAGAAAAAAATTTTCAATGTGATGTAAAATTCATCAATTTCTTCTTTGAAACCAATTTGCAAACAAGTCAAAGTAATTTCTGTGCGGAATTCGAAGAAAATTGAGGCTTTTCAGATTTTGTAAAATTCATGCGTAAAAAAAGATTTTTAGCAAGATACAACGCACTGGTTTGTACTTCACATTTCCCAAAGAGATTATTGCTCATATTTATTCTAAATCGCATGCCAGATATTCATGCGGTTTTTAGGTTTTATAGAGAAATTAGAAATTAGATTGTAATACATCAATTTGTAACAAAAAATGTAATTAAAATTGATCATTTAAAACATTAAGGAGATTCTTACTATTGTATCGTTTAGTTTACTTACAGTGCTCATTATTGTCTGCTCAGAATTATTTTCAAAAATTCAAATGCCTCAAGGTAACTAAAGACAAACAATATCGGGTCAATATCGGGATTCGTGAAACACATTCTAAGCTGTGATGAGACAAATTTAATATACCAACCTGTCAAAAGCTTCGCAGAATATGGCATTTTCCAACTGAGCCGCATTTGACTAAGCCACAATTTCGGCTCTGTCATTGATTACTTTAAAAACTCTGTAGTCAATGAAGTGACACATGAAATTTGAGGGATGGGACCACATGAAGAGGTTCACGGAAGTGAGAAAAGTTTTTGACTACCATTTATCTGAGAGTGGCTTAAGAAGCTCACGGCTTCCGGTCTTAGACCAAAAATCTACTGGGTAGCCAACAAACATGCATTTGGAGGCGAGCAAATTGTCAGAAGGGTTTGGTACCCACCACCTGAAGACGAAAAATCCGATCAAAATCGAAATAAGCATCGGATGAGAAGCACCCCTTTTGAAGATCCCCGCAAACGAATTAAGAATCACGATTTGAGGCCATGCACCTGGAATATATGGTCCCTTAATTGTTAAGGTGCCGCTGCCCAGCTGGTTGATGTCCTCATGAAATAAGAGGCTGATATCATCGCCGTCTAGGCGATGCGATAGACGGGGCCAAACGAAATTCTTTTACACCATGCTGATTTTCGCCCGCGTCCCGAGGGAAGAGAAGGGTGACTTGACCAAAGATGAGCGCCTAGAGTATACTTACGAGCGCTGTCCCCGACACAACGTGAAAATCGTGCTTGGCGACTTTAGTGTCAAGGTGGGCAAAGAAGGTATCACAACGAAACATCACCTAATGGGTTAAGGCTGATCGACTTCGCCGGGGCCCGAAATATGGCTGCCTGTAGTACTAGATTCCACCAAAAAAAAAAAAATACATCAAGCTACTTAGCTGTATCCAGATCGAGAAACTCTCAACCAGATCGGTCATGTTGTGACAGACGGAAGGCATGTCTAAGTGTTCTTGTCGTGCGTAAACTTCATGTTCCTAACATCGACACGGATTACTGTCTTTTTGGAGCGAAGACACGCATGCGTCTCTGTGTATCAAATAACGCCCGTCAACAAGCACAGGAAAAGTTCGAGGTTGAAATGCTGCAGTCACAACAGACTGCCGAGCGATTTTCTACTCGACATGCACTCCTGCTCTCATCGGCAGCTCGGTATACAAGACCTGTGATCGGAATTTCAAGCTCCATACGTGCAGCTGCGAATGAAACAAAAGACCGAAATGCATAAGTATGGGAAGCTTGAGAAGCTGACCGACAAGGGAAGTGCTCGAATATTTTACAAAAACACACGGCGACTTATGAAAGGTGAGCTGGTGACGGTTGCCCTGGGTATACCGAATTCATCTAGGGAACACTACTCCAGCCTGCTGGGTGGCAGTAAAACTGAAACACTCGGACTTCGAGATCGTAGATAATTTCGTCTATCTAGGAACCAGTATCAATACCAACAACAATGTCAACCATGAAACACAAAGCAGAATCACTCTTGACAACAGGTGCTACTTTGGAATAAGTAGTCAACTGAAAAGTTAAGTCTTCTCCCCAACATCTGTTGAGTCAGTCCTAGCAGTCTCCAAGAGAAAAGTTTTGCGATCGATTTATGATCCTTTGCGAATTGGCAATGGCAAAAACCGCAGACGATGGAACGATGAGTTATACGGGTTATACGGCGATATTGAAACAGTTCAATGAATGAAGAGACAGCGGCTACGCTGGCTAGGATATGTCATCCGAATGGATGCAAACACTCCAGCTTTGAAAGTTTTCGATGCAGCATCCGCTGGAGGAAGACTCCTTTGGATAGACCAGGGAGAGTGATCTGGCTTGACTTGGTATTTCCAATTGGCGTTGCCAACGCCAATAAAGAAGGAGAATAATACATTTATATATATATATATATACAAGTATATGCGAGTACATACAGTTTAAAAGTCATAATGAAAGAAAATACGCCAAAATTAAATAAATTATTTATTATTATTAAAATCATCTTAGAATCACATGCGGACGAAGTCGTGGGCAACCCCAAAATTTACTCTGAAATTGCACTGCATTACTTTGCTTGCATTTCTGAATTGCCGGCTTAAATTTTATTTATTTGAAATTTTGAAGAAAAATATATCCCTTTCAATGGCTCAAAATCAGCTTACGTAGATTTACAAAAAATTTTATGTGCAAATATGAACTTTTTATTTAAAAAATTTTCCTCCACAGCTACTCAACATAACTAAAATGCATAAATTTTCATTTTTAATACTTACAAATATGAGAATTTCAGCATTATAAATATATCATGGAATATTGTAACACATACATATATGTATGATTATAACTTTCTGGGTATGCGGACTGCCAAAGCCAACTCACTCAACTTATAGTAATAACAAATAATCAACACATTTTATCATCTCTAATTCTCTACTTCTACTTCTCTCTATTTTCATTGTCATTTGCTTCCATTTGCCACAATTGCGACGAACTCAACAACTCGATTTGCACCTGCCACATCGACGATACTTACTGTCTGTGACACACATACATACGCGCGCATGTGAACTTTGTGGAAACTTTTTCAATTCTATAAACGACGTGTATGTGTGTCTGTGTGTGTGTGCGCATGTCTGGGCACAGATATGGTCCACACTTTGAGGATGTGCAACGCGTGGGACAGCCAACGAATATGACGGTGCAAGCGGGTAGCAGCATACATTTGAATTGCAGAATTTCGCTACTACAAGATAAGACTGTAAGTTGTTCAAGTACTTATACGTATGAATAAAAGTTTCTTGGAGAAATATTAAAAATATTAAAGTAAAAATATGCAGGAATAAGTAATAATAGAATTAGGTATGGAAAAAGTGGAAAACTGCTAGGTGAGTGAACTAAAAATACATTTAACTGTAAATTACACAAAGTCTAGAAAAATTAGGTTATTAAAAAAGTGTCTAGATTTGTAAAAAAATAGTTTTGAATTCTCATATTACATAGTATAATTGTCGTGGTTTTCAGTCAAAGTTTCTCTGTAATTTTATGATGTGCGCTTTGATGTTTTTCCAACGACTGGAAAGATGGACGTAAAGACTACTCTAAGCCACCTCCGAACTCGGCGGTCTTAACATTGGCGGCCTGAAATTGGAAAATTACATTTTCCTATAATTTTGGATATTGATCGAACCAAGACTCTAACTCACTGGTCCTTCGAGTGGCAGAGTGCACTGCTAACCACTCGTTATTACTTAGTAAAATTTCGGGTTCGGCGATTTCGTAAATAACAAAAATTATGCTCAAATTACGGGACTAAAAATATTTATAAATAAACTACAAAATGCATCTCAAACTGCCTACGTACTGCAGCCACGGAAACTATTGGCTTGCGGTAGAGCCACAAAGTGGTTATGTGAGGAATATCAAACTGCAGTTGGGAGAAAACAAAATGCCTACCTCGCAACCCTGCGATCGATTCGGGGTGGGATAGATACCGAGAGCTGAAGAGGGAGGCAAGATACATTTGCAAACCAAGGAAGAAATGCGTGAGTATGAAGAGTTTGAGAAGCTAGCTGACGATGGTCGAAAATTCTATGAAAAGTCGGGGCTCATTGCAGACAGTTTTAATGTGGAAATCTGGTGACTGAAATATGCTCTGCATACACCAAGTATGCTTCAGCATGGCTCTGGAAATGTGACACTTCACGTTGGCGAAACCGAAACGCCAATCGGTGATTATAGAAAAGGCTTTCATTACCCAACTACGGCGAGATTTGAAAGCAGTTGTCCGTTTAAAGTACAATAGGGCGGCTAGAGCCGGCATGCACTAGCTTCTTTGAAGAATATCGTTGAACGAAATCATGCTCGATGATTAGAAGTGAATTGTGCTCTGCCCAATCCAATTATTGTAGTATTATCCAGCTTAAGGATAAAGCCCACAAACTGATTGGATTTTATCAATGTGGCTTTAAAGCTGGTAAGTCAATGATTGATCAGATATTTATCATGCGCCAAACCTTGGAAAAGACCCGTGACAGCAGAATCGTAAAAGAGCAAATTTTCATCGGGTTTAAAGCTCCTTTAAACAGTAAAATAAGTTTTAAATAAATTAATTAAACGAGGTTTAAGATAGGGTGTTTTGCCCATGGTTTACTGTCGCTTGCCGATTTAGCCACGGCAAACACCGACGACGATGGAATGATGAGCTGTACGTGTTATACGATGAAATTGATATATTTCAGCCAAAGAAGAGTAGAGGATACGCTGGCTAAGGCTTGTCGTCTGTACGTAAGAAAGTGCTTGACCTTTTGAAAGTATTCGATGTAATATCCGCTGGTGGAAGCAGTGGAAAATGATGACCCTTACAACGTCGGAAGAATCAGGTGGAGAGCGACCTGGCTTATGGTGCGCCTTGTTGATTTGGCTTAATCGCGTTAGGCGTGGGATTTGCCAATGAAGAGAAAAATAAATCAAAAATACCAATTATAAAAAAATTCCAAGCTTAAATTATTAAAAACAGTTAAGGTATCATTTATTTAGTTAAATATAAAAATAACTTTCTGAATGGATTAAAGTAAAAAAACTAAGCTTTTTCGGGCTGAATCCCAAGCTGGATTTAAAATAGTTTCAGAACGCTTAGTGCAAAAACTCATTTTTAATGCATTTAAAGTCATGGCATTTAAGGTCATGCCCTTTTTTATTATTCTAGCTGAAAGTACCACTTCTACTCTTAAAAACCCAATTTGAATTTTGAAAAAATCTGTTTTTACCTCGGAGCAATTAGTGCGGATAAATAGTTCGAAAAAGTATAGTCCAGTTTCTGGCTCGAAAAAATTTAATCAGATTTTGTCGGCTTGTGTTGTTATTGGATGAGTGCATAAGTTCGTGCCCGATTTCAAGTGCAAACTAAAATTNCGCATATGATCTTTTTCGTTGTCCATCTTCCATGCGTCTTTTCACTAAGCAACTCAAATCAAAATGAAGTTATTTTATGCTTGATTTACAGTTCGGACTGCCACCTTTAAAACGATATATAATATGTATATATTTCTTTTAAGAGCGCCACTTTCAAACGATTCGAACGGCATCCAGCGGAATCGGGCACGAACTTATGCACTCATCCAATAGTTTTTAGTACCAAAGATCTTTATTTCATAAAGGCGATATAACCGGAATTTAAAAAGAAACGCATTAGCATTATTATAAAATAAAAAATAATTAAAGGATTGAATTTGCAAATTAGTAAATGATGTAGCGAATATTCAAATTCTGGATAAGAAAAATATATTTTTATTTCACTCTAAATTAAGATTTCTTGCTTGTATTATTATGAACACTCACTTTCCAACTAAGAAATTTTGTGATTTTCATAGAGTAGCTGTATCTACCTGTGCACCAGCGCTGACTTAATTCGCCATTAATGTTAAAAATTTAACCAAATGCTATTGTATTACTCTCTGCTTAATCCCGAAATTTCGATCTCCAAAAATATTATAAGCCCTTAATTACTAGAAACTTCTCTCACCGCATCAGTATCATCTTGCAACAAAAAAATGGAAATTTGAGCTGTTGACAAGTAGCCGGACAATCAGGCAGCCAGATAGAGGCACACTCAAGACGTCATATAAATTAATGAAATGCACTTCCCATACCACGTCAAGCTACATATACCGTTGATTTTGTTGCAGAAATAATAGATCACAAGTGGCAGTCATTTGGTAGATAGAAGAATAAAAGCAGAAAAAAATTTTCTTGCCGCAAATATTTCATATTTCAATAACCTCTTAGCAGTGAAAAATCTCTCTTTGCTTATCGTCTTCTTCTCTCACTCATCGCTTATGTCTTGCACAGCAATAACTGAATAGGTGTAAAATAGTTGAAAACGGTACAATAAAAATATATTCGTTTGTTTTTATTGTATAAAAAAATCCAGTTCTCAAAGATGTTGTATTTAATGAAGAAACAGCTTTTATAATTGCAAAAGTTTTTGATATTTTGGGACAACACTAGAAAGTTCTCTCGTCTTTTGAGAGAACCAATATAGAAAAAAGCATGACAGAAGCTTCTATTCAACTGGTTTGCAAGTTACTTTGGTCTAACCACAAATGGTTGGCTTGTTCGCTCTTTCTATTATCAAAGCTTAATTAAAGTTTTTCGTCAATTACGCCATACAAGGAATCTGATATATTGAAATAAACCTCTGCCTTCTACTTTCAATTTTTGACTTTAACGACTGTTCACAGTCGAGGTCGGTATATCTCAGAATTAAAACTGGTCTTACTCTTCATATAAGATCGATGCTACATATATATTTTTTACATTATAAATCACTTAACTGTCTTTTCTTTAACTTAGGACAGATTTTCATTTGGCGCAGTTTTTCGCGATATATTAGTTAGGTGGATGAAATATTTGCAAAATCTTTTCGAGAATGATATATTATACTCTTGTATGCCATTAGCGCTTTTCAAGGCAATTAAACTCTTGTGGGCATTTCCTTATGAAACAAGTCTTTCGAAAATTTTTTAAATCACTTTTCTGATTTTTAATACTTACAGATTTTTAAATCTACGAATAATTAAAAAATTTCTCAAAAATCTACCTACTTAGTAATAGATTTGTAGATGATTCCTATTGCTAATACAGCGCATCAGCGCTAGTGTAAATACATCAGCACCGGCTTAAACATAAAAAAGTTATAGAATTTGTTTAGCCCCAAAAGTATTTGATGCATTTAGGTCTTTATATACAGAGAGCAAAAGTTTGAGTATTATTATTTAAAAAATTAAAAGGATTTGAGATTCTGAGTAGAGGCCTTTGGAAAACCTTCAATTCATTCCACAAATTTACAAGTTGTAAGACTTTATGAACTTCCATGACCTTGTCATCGCCCAAAGGAACTCAGAAGCGGAATTTTCACTAACATTAAATATATATATAACCATAAAAGCGAGCACCTATGTAAGATGACAAGCTTGTCAACTTTATTGCGCGAGTTGAGTGCCATCTCACCGAGTTGGCGTCTTCTTTAACGCCTTTGTTCCACTTCTGCTTTTATGTGGAAAAATATGTCTTTCTGTCCCCTATTTGTTCTTGCAACTTCTTAATTATGCATCTGACAAAGTTCTTGAGGAAACTAAGAGTAGTTATTATGTAATAAACGAAATGCAAATAGAAGTGAAGTGTTGTTGTAATAATGAAATGCACACTACAAACTAAACAATGCACGGTACGATAAAGTAAAGTGAAGTTGGCTATGAAGGCAGAGGTATTTGCTTGAGACAAGAGTATAATATCATAAAACTTTGCTTATTATTTATTACCATTTTTAATCTTCCATATTTACTAGCTATATATAATGCTCTCGGTCTGTGTGTTTTCAGGTGTCCTGGGTGCGCCGCAATGCACAGGGCGAGAATGCACTCGATCTGCTAACGGTCGGTTTGCATACATACACCGGCGATAAACGGTATAAAATGGAATTTCAATATCCCAACAACTGGCGACTGAAAATCACGAATGTGAAAAAAGACGATGAAGCTATGTATGAGTGTCAGATATCTACACATCCGCCACGCGTGATACAGATTTATCTCTTAGTGAATGGTGAGCGTAAAATAAATTTGCCCTTCTATATGTATGCAGCGTATGTTATTATAGTTCGCTGTGGCTCAACGCAATCATTAAATGATCGTATAATGAGCTGTTGATATGGTTTTAAAACTTCCCTTGTGTTATGATACGCGCAGGATGGCATGGACTGAGGGAAAATGGCAAAATTTGGCTACGTGTTGCATGAACAGTGGTTGTCCATAAAATAGCAGTGGGAATGAGAAAATTAATGAAATCAAATAAAATAACATAAAAATTTTTCAAAGTCGATTTATAATTATAAAAAACAGTTTTTATAAAAAATTATATAGAACAAAATGATATTAATAAAATAAAATAATTTAAATAAGAAGCGAGAATAAAGCAAAGTAAAGTAAAATGAAACAAAATAAAATAAAATAAAATAAAATAAAATAAAATAAAATAAAATAAAATAAAATAAAATAAAATAAAATAAAATAAAATAAAATAAA